AATATCTCCCCTATCACATTCCTCACCTCCTTCCCCTTCCCTTTATACACTTTCACCACTACATTTCTTTTCCTTTCCTGCCTTTCCATTCTTTCCCACGACCATTCCATCTTCCTTACCCTCTCCTCCACCCCCTTATCCTCCCCTCCCTTCACCCCCCCTTCCTCCAGCTTCTTCACCCTCTTCTCCAATTCCTCCATTCCCTTCCCCTTTCCCTTTATGCTCATACTCCCTTCCCACTTTCTCTCCAGCTCCTCAATTCTCCTCTCCATTCCCTCCCTCTCTTTTCTCCATTCCTCCTCCCTTCCTCTCATACTCTCTAGCTCCCCCATTATCATATTCACCCTATCCTCCATTCTCTCCTCCATCCCTTCCCACCTTCCTCTCATCTCCTCCACCCCCCCCTTCAACGTTTCCATCATCCCCTCATTCTCCCCCATTCTTCTTTCCACCGGTGACCTCGAGGTTTTTTTACTCCTCTGGAAGCTACCCTCCTCCTCCTGCTTCTCCTTTCCCCCTGCTCCCTCTAACCATTCCATCACATCTCTTTTCCTTTTCGGCACCTCCATCATGCCTGTACTCCCCCTACGCTCCCTCCCTTCTCCTCCCAACCCCCTTGCCATCCCCTTCCCCACACCCTCCATTTCCTATCCCAAAGCCTTAACCTACCTGTTTCTTCCTTGCTCTCTGTCTCCCTTTATTCACTCTCCTCACACTATCTCCCTGCCACTTCGTTTTCCCTCTATACTCTTCTCACTCCCAGACTTACTCCCCACCACTCTCCCTTCTCGCTCTACTTCGTTCTATGCCGGTTTCCTCTCTACCTTCTACTCAACTCGTGCCTACGCACGCACTCTTCCTCGTCCCCTCTCACCTCTCCTAACCCTACCCTCCCAATCTCTCACACCGCACTCCTAACCTCACTCTCACCACACTCACTCTCGCACTCTCTATCTCTCACACCTCCTCCACCCACACTCACCTCCCTTCCCCTCCCCCTCTCCACTCTTTCCACTCTCTCTCCTCCCTCTCACTCTCCTCCAACTCACACCCTCCACTCGCTCTTCGCCTTTTCAATATTCAACTTCTATCCTACACGTCCACGCACATCCACTCCGGAAACGGAAGTCCACACATATATATACTTATAAGCAAGAAGAACGTCGACCTTCCAGACGAAGGAATTCTCAACGCAATAGAAAATCGCGCTTTCGACCGTCCCGGGCTATTGCCGGTGTATGCAGGTAGGCCTAAATAAACAGAGAGCACCCGTTACCGTCAACTTGAGAGAAGACAGGGACGTCACGCCGCCAATACTGATTAATTTGTCTTCGTCGAGGAACGGATTTAACAAACAAAGTGAACTTCTGGACGACAGTGATCGCTGATTGAGAAGTGCGTTCTTCTCTTGCGGAACAATACGGACTGCATCTGACGGATCCAGAAGACTCGAGTCTTCCGATACTCGGAAGAGGTGAGAGCGGCCGTTGACATTGAGGACATTGTGCTCCCCATGAGATCCGCGAAGACTCGCTATGAACCTCAACATATAAGCGGTGACCTTGATTAGTTTCGGCCATGACGAGTATCTCGTCGCAAAATCCCAGGACACGTTGGAAACTTCGACCCTCGCGACTACGCTAGATCTCTCCTCCATGGAAGTCGATCAAATAGAAGGTTGAGGTGGTCATCCCGATTGCTCGAGCCGAAGTCACGTCGGACCGTGCCACCAAAGATGATGATCGGCAAGGTCACGACCTAGACGACCTCTAGAGGCACAATCGGCTGGATTGTGATGCATGGATGCATGGCACCAAAGCGCGGTTGGAATACGAGAGTGTATTTCTGAGACTCGGTTGGCAACGAAAGTCTTCCTCTTGGCCGGATGCTGATTTAACCACGCGAGGACGATTGTGGAATCAGTCCAGCAGAAGCACGGAGCTGTAATCAAGTGAAGAGACTCTCGCGTGAACTCCAATAACCGAGACAATAAAACTGCTGCCGAGAGCTCCAGTCTCAGAATACTTAAGGTCTTAATTAGTGCAACCTTTGATTTTCTGGACAACAGGGACACTGTCACCGTACCTGACACTGAGACGCTTCGTAAGTACACTGCTACTGCCTAAGTTGAACTTGAGGCGTCGGCAAAGCCGTGCAGTTCGCAACTAATTGTATCAGCACCATGCCCGACCCAGCGATTGATGGTCAAACCATCGATTTCCGTCAATGACATAAATTTCGGACCACTAGGTCATCAAATTTACAGGGAGTACATCGTTCCACGTGCTTTTAGTTTGCCATAACTTTAGAAAAATCTTGGCAGTTACGGTAGCTGGAGTCCCCCACCCGAGAGGATTAAAAATTCGAGCGATATTCGATAAGATGGCCCGTTTAGTATTAGAAATTGTGCTGGGAAGTGACACGGTAAATTGAAAGACATCTTAACGCGGATTCCAACTAATATCCAAAATTTTTAGATGTTCATCTACCTGCAAATTCTTGTTGTACACGAGACCGTGGTCCGCTGGATTAATGTGCAGAAGCGGAGGTGAGTTACTCTTTACGCAACTTGAAGTGTCCCAGACAGAGCACCGACTGACTTGCTCACGAATTTGCTTGAACAGTGGGATGTTGTCAGCTCCGAATAGAACGTCATTAACCTAAATGTTTTCTCGTAATACCGGAATAGCTAGCGGAAAAGTGTGACACTCATCCTGCAGGACGCGAAGAGCGAGAAAGGGCGCAGACACGGTCCTAAGTGACGGCAAGAAGTTGAAACTCAGTAATCGGCAATGTTTCACTAGGTGACCAGAGGATCCGCTGATAATTCGCATCACGAAAGTTGATCAGAATCTGTCGGTATATCTTTACGATATTAGCACTCCTGACATATTTGTGAACTCGCCAGCGTAAAATTACTGACGCAAGGTCAGTGCAGTTTCGGATCAGGAAGCAGACGCTCATTGAGAGACGTATTCGAACTGACGCATGATGCATTGAATACCACTCTCAAATATGTAGTGCTACTGTGTTCCCGCAGAATCGGGTGATGCGGTATGTAAATGCATTGAGTAGCGATGATATCCGCATCCTCGACCTGTCCCATATGCCCGAGATTCTCGTATTCACGAATGAAGTTAATGTATTCGGATGCGAGCAAAGGTTGCGTCTTCAGTCTGCGATGCAGTTGTTGGAGCGACCGTTCGGCGGTTTGGCGAGATGTACCGATGTCGATCGAATGTCCTTTCTTAAAGGGAAGACGGACCACGTAGCGTCCGTTGGGAGCACATGAGGTCACAAAATGATCCTCACAGAGTTGTTTTTCAGGACTGAGAGCGGATTTACGAGGAATTTCCTCGATCTCCCAAAAGTTACGAAGCTTTTGTTCCAGAGCGAACGAAGTTGAGCAGTGCTGCACATGAATTCGCGACATTGAATGAGGTTGACAAGAGAAAGGACCGGAGAGAATCCATCCGAAGATTGTACTTTGTTATCCGGCTTTCCTTTTTTGTACGCTCTCAAGAATTAAGTCGCTATATAGATCCGAACCGATTAGCAGATTGATCGGATCAGAATTAGAAAAGTTAGCGTCTACCAACTTCAAGTCAGCAAGATGCTCACACAACCCATTGGAACAGTTTTGAACTGGAGCGTAACGAGTAAGCATCGTAAGAATTGACGCTGTAGCAGTTAAAACGGGGCTTATTCCATCAACCGAACAGAGGAGAATTCGAGAGGCGTGGCGGCAAGCTCCGGCATCAATTCCGCTGACGGCAGAAATCGAGAGAGATTTTTTTATCCGAGTCAATTTTAACATTTGTCGCAGCCTTTCGGTGATAAACGTAATTTCCGAGCCTTGGTCAATAAGAGCGCGAACTACGTGCGACCGCCCCGAAGGAGTGCCTACTCGGGCGCGCGCTGTCGCTAGCAAAATGCTTGAATAATTGGAGGTCACTGACAATAGCAATGTAATAGAAGGCGAGCTGTCGCCGTCCACACGCGAACCGGTAGATATGTCAGACTTCGACGCGACGGCAGAAGAGCACGAGTCAACGTGCAACATTGTATAGTGTCGCTTATTAATAATAGCGCTTATTAATAATAGCGCTTATTAATAAACGTGCGATACGTATACTTGCTTGGGCATGTGTTGATTAAATGCTTTGAGCTCAAGCAATTGAGGCATCTATTTAATTGCTTGATCAATTCGAGGCGTTGACTCGTACTCTTCCGAACGAAGAGAACATTTATTTATGAAATACAACGCTTTACATAATACGCACGTAATTTTTGAGACATCAACAGCGGTCGTGTTTGAAAATCGCGTCGGGCAAATCGGTTTACTCACGCCGGGAGACGGTACCTCCTCGAGCGCGCGAACTCACGAAGCGATAAATCGGTCAAATTCGGCATAAGTCGGAATATCCGACTCTTTAGCACCTCTTAATTTCCACGCTCAACGTGTGGTGGAATCTAATTTTTGCGAAACGGTAAATACAAGAATGTTGCTTAGAATATCGTCGGATGATCGATTCAAATTATTGAGCGAAGCAATAGATAGATTTACTTTGTCTCTCAAGTTATTTAATTCGACTTGCGAGATACCTCAGGCAGATTTAAAAGATTTGCCACGTAGATGTCGACTAAACGACGTTTGTTTTCGTATCGAAACGTCAATGCTTTCCACGCGATTTTGAAGTTGTCCGCTGTGACCGGAATGTTTCTAATGGCTTCGAGTGCTTGCCTGGCGAGACTCGACAAAAAATGCATTCGAGCGAAATCGGATAAGTCTTTATTGTTAACAATCAACGAAGTAAACCAATCCCGAAATCTTTCTCATTCCTCGAACTCGTCGGAAAATTGCGGGAGATTAATTGGCGGCAAATGCGACAACGAGAATACCGGCGCGGGATCGCAATGTTGCGACATCGGTATCGGCGTAGATTGTTGCAGACTCACGCTCAGCTCCAACTCATTGAGACACTCTGCCAATAGACCATGTCATCCCCGACTTCAAAATGCTTCATCTTGAAGTAATCTAGCGATTTTCTGTTCGTCTCAGGAATTGCGTGCATCAGAGTGGCGTGCACTTGGATGCATTGTGCCCAGGTGTCCTTGAGAGATCCCACCCTCGATCGAATCTTCGCGGGAGTGTAACTATTTTTCCCAATCTTTTTAAAATTATCGAGGGCTCGCTCGATGATTCGCAGTAACGAGTGCTGCTTGTGATAGAGTTCGGACATTGTCACGACTTGAGCCTAAGCTCAATACCGATTGAAAAATAACACTGTCACAGAAAGTCGCCTCTGATCCGGCTCAAAGAACCAAATGTTTTGTTTGCGAATGAACGAGTGGGTTCACTCGGTGCGAACTGAACGCCGGGATCGCTCTAGGCGAGCGCAAAAGCGACGGAAAGTAACTGGAGGTAATGGGCGGAATGTTCTGAGTGATTGTGGTGGATCCACACGAGAAATGGCGTACGACCGCCGCAGCCGTCACATAAGTAGCACAGCGCCGTTACGCGAGCCGCCGCTGCAAATGCTAGATCCTCCGGGCAATGCCGTTTGGCGGCGCATACAGGGAGTGGTTTTCTCGCGAGAAAATCATGATTAACAGACAATAAAAAGCCGGACTCCGCAGGGGGTCGACACACACCGCCGCTCTGGCTATCTCTAGCATTTTGCCGCAGCTAGAAAGTCATCGGCCTTGGCTAGAAGCCACATCCGCTAGAAGCGGCACCGAGTCTCCGGACGCTGAAGAAGCTTGTTCGATAACTTTTGTCCATTTTGAAGGCAATTTCATAATTCCGCGATTGAAGAAGTCCTCGTCCTTATTGGTAAAAAACTTGACCTGCTCATTTTCACAAGCCTCTCTTGAGGCCAGTTTTACCATCAAGAAAATTTTGCAAATGCTTGAAAAGGTGATAATCGCTTGGTGCCAAGTCTGGACTATACGGCGGG